GAAATTTGCCCGAAAACCCGAGCTGCCCGAGTTTGCCCGACTGCCCGAACCCGAATTTCAAAAAACTAGCCGTTTTATCCCATTTTTTTTGAAAAAAAAATCATTTTTTAACTCTAAAATTTCCCTATAAATACCCCTCATCTCTTACACATTTTTCTCACTCAAACTCTCTCAATCCCTCTCAATCTCTCTCAATTTCTCTCAATCTCTCTCAATCTCTTTCAAGTTCTCTCAATCTCTCTCAATCTCTCTCACAATTTTTCTAAAGCTCTCTCTCTAGTGTCTATCAAATTCATCTTATTTTTTTTATAATGGATCCTTTTGGTTATAGTGGTATTCCCGTTGATGCCCAACACAATGTAGAAGAAGGGCAATTTCCCACTAATGAGTTTGTTACGCAGCAAATGCAATCTACTAATCCAAGCCATGGTGGACGTACTGGAGGTCGTGGTCGCAATAGTGGGCGTGGAAATATTGTTTATCTAAATTACAAGGTGACACTATTCACGGCACCACACACTTGAGACGACACTCTGAAAAGTGTCTTCAAAAGCTTAGCCAATCTAGTGGACCCGAACTCCGAAACACAATTATCTTTTGATCGCGCAACCGGTGGTCTAACCACTTGGAAATACGATCCGCAAGAAGATCGTATGGAAGTTGCGCGAATGATAGCTGCTTTAGATCAACCACTTAGTTTTGTAGAGCATCCTAATTGGCAACGATATATTAAGGTTATACACAATCCTAATGCACAATTCACTTCAAAAACTACTCTTAGGAAAGATTTATTAAAATTATTTAAAAAAGAAAAAGATGCATTAATAAACCTTTTACACTCGACTAGCGGGTGCGTTGCGTTAACGGCAGATATTTGGTCTGCCGTTGCCAATAAAGATTATTTAGCTGTAACCGGACATTACTTTAAAGGATTTGATTTAGATAAGAGAATATTAGGTTTTAAATGTGTTCTAGGATCACATAGCGCAGATTTAATATATAACACAATTTTAAATGTAATTGATGAATTTAGTTTAAGAGATAAAGTAATGGCTATAACATTAGATAATGCTAGTGCCAATACAAAAGCAATTGAATTTTTTGAAAATGATTTAAGTCTATTCGGTGACGGTACTATTTTCCACCAACGTTGTGCATGTCGTGTAATCAATTTAATAGTTAAATCCGGTTTAAAAGAAATGGGTAATCACATTAAAAGAATTAAAGATAGTCTTGTATGGATTCAAGGTAGTAACCAAAGACAAGAAGATTGGTTTAGGTTCTTACAAGCATTAAATATACCTCCTAGAGTGTTAGCGTTAGATATGCCTATTGAGCGGTCATAATTCTATGACCGCCCATCATGCATGCTCGCTCAGTGTGTTATGACTGATGGCCGGTCATAAGACTGTCACATAATGTGGTCACAATACTATGACCGACGGTCATAATGCTATGACCGCAGGCTCATCAGTCAGGCAGTCACACTATGAGCCTGCTTGCTTGATGGTCGGTCATAGTACTATGACCGCACGCTGTGCCTGTCTTATGACCGGTCATAATACAGTTACCGACTGGTCATAATGATATGACCGACCATGAAACAGAGTCACGACCAAATAAGGAGCATAATGACAATAAAAAATTTTAAATAACTGACCTTATATGCTTTTATCTCCTCCTCCAAAGCCTTTCTTTTCTTCTAAGATGACAAAAAATGGTAAATGAAAAAAAAATAATAAATACCTAAGAAAAAAACAAATAAACAAGAAAAGCTAACAAAGTTCTCACTGCGTGGGTGCTCACTGTCGTGGGTTCTCGCTGTTGTGAGTTCGTCAGTGCTCAAGGTGGTAGACGGTGGTGGTCGTTAGAGTTTCTAGGTCTCTGTGCACACTCGCGTTCGGTCTCATCCTCTCTCTACTTTGAATATTTGAATTATAAAAGGCTTTCTAATATATAGTCAGGGCTTTAAAACTGAAATGGGGCATAATTGTTATTTAAACTCAAGTAAAAATGACTTGATTCTATTTTTACTGACATGGCGATGCTAATTGTGAAAGTATACAAAAATGGTGTTAAAATTAATAATAATTTATTTAGAAGTGCTATTATTGAAATTAACCCTAGTAGTGGTTATGTTTAAGGTTGCACAGGCATCATTTATATTTTGTAGCACTTGAAACTGTTGAGTAAATAAAACATTTACCTGTAAAAATTTAATACACTCTTGTATAGTTGTATTTGAACAAGTGATGGTGCATGGCTTTTAATGTTTCAAATTTACTATCTTGTTCTGCTTATTAAAGTTAATGTTTCGCCTTCACATGGTTTAGGTTTTCTCTCTCTGTCTTGTTCTTGTTCTTCTTCCCTTTTTTTTTTTTCATCAATTGTATACATGACAGAGAACTGCATATATAAGAAAGGAGGAAACTAAAAGTACATTCATTGGAATAATGGCGTCTTCATTCATTGAAAAATTTTTTTGTGCCTAAAATAAAAGAGGAAAGAGAAAAACAAGATCCCACAGAAAATCCCAGTTACAAGCAGAACCCAATTGAATGCAAGTGGATAGTCGAAGACATTTGCTTCAAAATTCATTCCAAATACAGCAGTCACCGCAGCAAATATTGTGGCCACAAAAGTAGCTGCTGTAATGAGCAGCTCAAATTGTATAAGCTGGTTCTGAACATTGCCCTGTTCAGCGACACATGTAAGCATTTCAGATACATTTAGAAAAAGGAAAAGGGTTTATACGACATTTGGAAACAGTTAAATAACTCCATACCAGTTTTATATTTATCAAATCTTCAGTATCATCAATGTATTCCTTCAGCTGCATCAACAATAAATAAATAATATTTCAGAACGTTTCTTGGGTGGCAATAGAGTGGCATTCAAGGTTTCTCATTCTATGGTCCTGTCTCAACATAGACAAAATCTGTCTTTTACGGTGTTTAAAAGTGACGATGTGAAATTACAAAATTCAACGATTATGAATCTTTGTTCATGATCATATAGGATTATGCAGAAAGTTGGAGATCTTGTACCGATGACAACTTGCTGAGAGTGTGGCCAATGACAACAAAGTACGCCTCGAGCAACATTTCAAGTTGTACAATGTTTTCTCCACTGTTGGATGAACTCATGAAGCTTCCATGTCTACCTGAACTCAAGATGTTGCTAAAAGCCCTTTGCAATTTATGCTCTCCACTAATTGATCCCACTGGTGAAACAGGAGCTGATTTTGAAACCGCTTTGCTCTCAAATAGGGTATTTGTTTGAAAACATAGGTCACTTAAGGGATAACCCTCTGACTTTTGCTTCTTCTCGGTGAGGTACATCTCAGCCATGTCATCGTCATCATCCATGAGATGTTCCATTTCATCGTGAACCTGGAAATAAACTAAAACCTCAATTAAAGAGATTAAAAGGAAAAGTAGACAAATATTGAGAATTGACAATATTTTTCTCATGTTTACCTTCTGAACCAGCTGAGTTAAGGCAAGGAGATGGCCTTTGAGTCTCCGAACACGTTCTAGGTTAGTAGTGTTGATGGTTGATGCTAGTTCATCTAGTACAGGGTATATCTCCATTTCCAGTTCTTTAACCTATCACATCCAGGTACCTCATCAATGTAATGAATCTTGGCGCGTGATGTTTCATGTCACCACAATACAAGATTCTGATATAGCATAGGATTTAATCATTGGCCATTATCATATGGATATATCAGTAAAACGATTGTTTCCTCTTTTGTCAACAATAACAACAACAATCCTTAATCCCAACTTAATTAGAGTCGGCTATATGGATTTCACTTTTCCACGCAGTTCTGTTCGAAATTAGACTTTCCTGAAGGCCTAGATCTAGAATGTCTTTCCTAACTACTTCGGTCCACGTAATTCTTAGTCTACCCCTCCCTCTCCTAGTATTAGGTATAAGAATGTCCTCTCAAGCACGAACTAGTGCTTCTAACGGTCTACGTTGGACATGCCCGTACCACCTCAAGCGGCCTTCGCGTATCTTATCTTCTATTGGTGCTACACCTACTTTACTACGAATAACTTCATTCCTTATGCTATCCATTCTCGTATGGCCACTCATCCCTATTAACATATGCATTTCTGTCACACTCATCTTACATATATGTTGTCTCTTAATGGCCCAACATTCACTACCATAATATAGCTGGGCGGATTGCAGTCCTATAGAACTTTCATTTCAACTTAATTGCCATCACATAAAACTCCTGTAGCATTCTTCCACTTAACTCACCTTGCCTTAATCTTATGTTGAATATCCTCTTCTATATCTCTTTCATACTACACTATAGACCCAAGGTACCTAAACTTTTTAGAAGCTCCAATCTCCACACCATCTAAAGAAATTCCATCACTTTGATTACTTGAGTTACTAAACCTACAATACACGTATTCAGTTTTCATCCTACTTAACTTAAATCCCTTCGTCTCGAGAGTCTGTCTCCACAGTTCTAACTTACGGTTAACTCCTTCCCTATGTTCATCAACTAAAACAATATCGTCCGCAAAAAGCACACACCAAGGAACTTTATCTTAGATTTCTCTTGTTAGCTCATCCATCAGAATGGTGAAAAGATAACGACTAAGAGCAGATCCTTTATGAAGGCCGATCCGAATGGGGAACTCTGCCGTGTAGCCTATAGCAGTTCTCACACTCGTGACCACCCCATCGTACATGTCCTTAATTACCTTGATATACCTCACATGCACTCCTCCCTTTTCTAGCACCCACCATAAAACTTCCATCGGTACCCTATCATACGCCTTTTCTAATTCTATAAAAACCATATGTAGGTCCGTCTTGGCTTCTCTGTACCTTTCCATCAGCATCCTAAGAAGAAAAATGGCTTCCGTGGTTGATCTGCCTGGCATGAAGCCAAATTGGTTACCTGAGATGGTAGTTGTGGCCCTTACTCTCCCTTCAATAACTCTCCCTCAAAGTTTCATAGTGTGGCTTATTAACTTTATGTCCCTATAATTGTTACAATTCATCACATATCCTTTGCTCTTGAAGATGGTGACAAGAATACTTTTCCTCCACGCATCAGGCATATGCTTCTTCTTTAGTATCTCATTAAAAAGCTTAGTAAGCCACACAATTCTAACATCTCCTAACGCCATCAAAACCTCTATTGGAATATCATCTGGCCGACACGCCTTCCCCTTTTTCATTTTTCGTAGCGCAGTTTTAACTTCTGAGACTCTGATTCCTCTTGTATACATCACATTAGGTTCTCCTTGTGACCTATGATGGTCAAACTCTATTGTATGATCATCATTATAGAGCTTCTCAAAGTAACTCCTTCACCTTTTCCTAATGTCTTTATATTTTGTCAGAACTTGATCTGTATCATCCTTAACACACCTCACTTGATTTAGGTCCCGACACTTCCTTTCTCTTATCCTAACTAGTTTATATATGTCCTTTCCTCATTCTCTAGTCCCAAGTTTCCTATATACCTCATCTAAGTAAGTAGAACGAGCCTTACCAACTACTCGCTTAGCTTCTTTCTTCGCTTCTTTGTATTTTTAAAAATTTCAACATCCTTACGTTTTGACAAATCTCTATATAAATCCCTCTTGGTTCTAATAGTCTTTTGAACTTCCTCACTCCACCACCAGGTTTCTTTTCCTGGGGGGCCTTTACCTCGAGATTCCCTATTACAGCCCATCCACCTAACCCAGGCCTAAGTGCAGACAGCCCTTACACGGCGCCCAAACCTTGGTGAGTCTATCGAAGGAGGAAGGAGTTGGTTACAGACAGTTATTGGGTTAGCAAATGAGGAGGTCACACGTGGCAAGCTAGATGATGTAGCTGGGAGATTTAGTAGCTGGTGGGCGACGTTGGTGGGGGTGTGGAGAAAGTATCAGAGCAGTCTTGGTGGGCAAGAAGAGTATCCTCTTGATCGGGATTGAGCTCCTGGGAGTGTTTATTGTTGCCTTTAAACATCATTCCTTTCCTTAGGGGTTTGCTATTGTAATTCAGTTTAAGTACTCAAAATTTGAATCTGGAATTATATTGTAACTTGTGATTTTGTCTCTTGAATACAATTACAGTATAATTCTCGCTCTTCCATTTATTCTCTCGTTGTCAACATTCATTGCTAAATTTTTAACTTTAACATTCCCCTAGTACCTCCTTTTCTAATGCAGCTGGCCATGGCATCCCACATAGTATTTGCATCACCTATATATGACCAAGTAGCCTCCTCTAACAACTTCTCTTTAAAGGCCAATTGTTTTATTCCTTTCAAATGCCACCAACGAGTTCATGTGAGGTGGTTTATCTTAGTCCTTCTATAGCAAAGCTTAATGCTCACATCTAAGATCACTAACCTATGTTGGGTGGCTAGTACTTCTTCAGGAATTACTTTACAATCCTTACATTGTTTCCTCTTTTGTCAATGAAAGAAATTCCACGTGTCATATAAAAACTAGTACTAGTAAGCCAATGGATATATAAATGTCATATTATGTTCTTTTATTTATATAGAAGAGGCATACCTGAGCATCTAGAGACATGCAAGTTAGTTCCAAAGCTAGCTCCAAGGCTCTAAATTCAAAAGGCAAATCATCTGAACCAAAATCGAAACTCCTCAGCAATGCATATTGCATACAATTTGTCATAGAATTTGGCGAGTAAAAATAAGCTTAATGCAGGTCTTTAAGAAAAATGAAATTACTTGGAACTTCAATTCAGCACAAAACTCTTGTGGCAAATAATATATCCTTAATAAAGCCAAGAAAAAATTACAACAGTAATGTCAAATAATGAAAAACAAAAAACTTACCAGATTGATCTTTGTTTGACTGGAGGCGTCTGGACAACTCTGACTTGTATTGAACAACACATGCATCCAACGAATTCATCAAAATGACCTCCTCAGCTGTGATTATACATCTAATCTGTTCAAGGCTGACCACGATAGCCTTTTCGCGTCCTAGTATTGTAGAAGGGTAAATAAACAAGGGATCCAAAAGCCGGAGATCTCTCGCAGGCAAAGAACAATGTCTCATTATAGTAGCCTTGTCAAGCTCCAAAACCTTTGCCACTCCATTCTTATCAATCTTTATCCAAGAGCGGCTTCCATGGCCTCTCTTCTTAAGGCCCTGAATCCTAGCACCGCCGCGAGTTCCATTCCCATCCGGCTGAAACCTTCTAGTGCCATGAAATAAGGTCGCTTCTGACTGATCAAAAGGAGGTGGTCGGATTTCTTCCATTGAATTCTACTTTCACCGCTTTGGATGCAAACCCAGAACTTGATGGGAGAAAATGATTGCATTTGCATAAATCAAATGGTACCTGGGTTCCAATCAATGGCCTTGTCCACAGAGGCAGTTATTCAATAATATCAAAAGTCACTTATACTGAACTTATTCATGTTCTTTGCCCATATCCAAGACTGAACTTGAAAATGAGAATTGTAGTAAATTGATCATTCCCAAGTACATAAATGTACATAGTCAATGGGGAAAGCACTCAATTCCAAATAATGAAACAATCCCAGAAAAATCTCACGTTCATAAGCTGCAAAGAGTGGAAAAAAAAAATGGGACTTTGAACATTAGACAAACCACATGAACTTAAATAGTATTTTAATACTATAACGGGATAGCTCAGTAATAGATATCCCACAAGAGAAGCTGAAATTCTTTTCTTTTTCTTTTATCTTAAATGTAAAAAGTAACACTGCCCAGTTCAATAACAATAACTAAAAGAAAAATTGCAAAATTCAACGCAAGGATATAAGTAACCTAAAATTCAAAAGGTCACTGTCTTGACATAGAAAATTCACGTTGCCAATTTTCTCAATTCTCAACTGCAGACAATCATACATAGTACTAAATGCCCAAAAAAAAAAAAAAAAAAAACGAGGTGAATTTACACAGAACTAGAGCACATAAAAGAATCTCATAGTTAGATAATACCCACTGAAATAATCAGAATTTCGCAAAAAAAAAAAAAAGAGAACAAGCAAATAGAGAAGAAAATACAAGAACCAAAGAAAATACAGATTACACACAAAAAAAAAAAATTGCGACATAAAAGATTCGGATTCTCGGACCTTGTTTTGCTGTGGAGGAAATGCTGGAAATTTCTCAGAGAAACCCGTGATTCGCTTTCAAGAACCACCGTAAATAAATTTTCCGTTTTTTCAGCCAAAAACACTATTTTTTCTGCTGATTAAATACTCTGGATTTTCTTTCTCGTTTGTTTTAGTATTTTACCTCATTAACCATTATTTCAAGAAGAAAATCTGATATTCTAAAAAGAAGGGGAAATAAAAGGATAAAACGGGAAAACCGGTTTGGTCTTTTATTATTATTTTTTAAAATGAGACGCTCTGTTTTACGTTAACTATTGAACTTGAGAGATTCCAACTTAATTAAAGAAAAAAAAACATTTTTTTTCCATTTTTTTTTTCAATATTTCTCTTTCTTTTTTTTTTCTTTTCTTTTATGACAATTTGATATTTAAGTGATAGATTGATATTAATAGTAATGGATTTCGTCTATTTTCTTTGTTTCGGAGAAGTTTTTCAAGTTTGTATCTTTTGCTTCCTTTGAATTCGCGATCAATGCAATAATGGCTTTTGGTCATTATCTCTTGACAAATTAACCAATCTATTAATTGCCATTAACTATTCCTTTTTTTGTCCAACTCATCAGAGGAACCTACGTGATAGAAAAAGCCAAAGTTGAAAGGAAATTATTACAGTCATAAGAGAAAAAATTAAATGATTAAATTGTTCAATAGTTAAAACAAAATTACAAGATGTTTGACACGAAATGTCATATATGTTATCAGTTTGAAAATATATATAGTCTGTTAGAAGAATTAAAAAGAAATAAATGCTAAAAATTAATGTACTGAGAGTATTCTAAAAAAATTAATATTGAGAAACAAATATTTTTTAAACTAAAACCTAAGAAATAAATTTGTTTTTTTAAGGAAAAAAAACTAATTAATATATTCAATATTTTGAGGTGTAAAGGTAATTCTAATAATAAGGGGCCATGACTTAAGCGAGGCCTTAGGGAGTTGCCTTAACGGCCTCACCCTGGAGCCTGGCATTGTCAAGAAGTAATTAAATTTGATTTTGATTCCTTAAAATTAAATGATTTTCTTTGTTTCTTATTGTGATTTAATTTCTAAATTTCCATTTTTTTTCAATAGGTTGCAATGGAGGTGAGCAGAATGTGCATTTGAGAATTGAACGACTGTTTTTGCTCATGATCCATGTGAGTTCTTCTTGAACATAATCTTTTGATTTGGATTTTTATTTTTGTGCGTTTATTTATTTATTTATTTTTTATCTGTGCCTTTACTGTGTGGGTTATTCTTACTCCAAATTGAGATGTTTATTAAACTTTCTTATGCGGCTGAAGATGAAATTTCATGGCTTTCTTGAAAAAAAAGGCCCATTTTTGCTAAATCATGTTGTGCCTCAATATCTCTTATTACCTTTTTTTTTCCTTTCTAATTTTGTTTTGATTTCGTGTGAATCTAGAGCCAGTTTTAGATGTTTAGTGAACATGGCCTAATTGTTTACGTACGAAATTAATCTCAAAAATCTAGATTTCAGAGGCTCAAGCAGTTATTTGTATTTTCCTTCCTGTGAAAAGGGAAGAAATCATTTTGAATAATCATCTTTTTTTTTTTTTTTGGCTATTCCACATCATAAAACAATGATCATACATGAACTGTTAAAACCCTTTGCAACTTTCATCGTATCCGTCTATATCAGATTTTTTATGCTCTTTGATTTTCTTTCCTTATCTTTGGCTGCCATTCTTGATTCATTCATATATTGACATTTGAAACAAAACCACAATTTTAATTTTTCAGCTATGGAATTGGAACATGGAAGTGGAAGAAATAAGTGTTTAGAAACTCGTGCTGATGAAAGTGGAAGCAGTAAGCATTCAGAAATATCTCTAAGAGCTTTTGATGGGAGCGGAAGCCGTAGTTCGTTTGAAAAACACCTCGATTCGGTTGATGGAATCGAGGCTACTGACAATAGCGGATCAATTAGGCGACAAGACACTCAATTAGATGTTGTAGATGAGAGTGGAAGCAATGAAAAGTTAGAAAATCTTGATGGGAGGGATAGAATTGAGTCATCAACAATACGAGTGTCATCATCATTGTCGTCGTCGTCATCCTCGTTGTCGTCGTCATCAGATTCATCGATTGATCATTCACATGATGAATTTACCAAGTCTGCAGAACATGATTCTGGTGCTAAACCAACAACAAAAGATGATGAAAGCAGTGTTGCCAGTGGTAGCTCTTCCAAATCAGAAGATGATGACACGAACCCTGCAGATTCGGAATTGACATTTCAAGTTTCTGATGTCACACATGAATCCCCGGTTCATCGTATGGTATCCCCGCCGGTTCAAACAATGGAACAGCCTGAAGGTTATGATCCTCTCAGGATTCCCTCTTCCGTGTTTGAAAGTAAATCCACGACGCCAATGGAGTGGAGCGTTGCCTCTAATGAGTCATTGTTTAGCCTTCATGTAGGCAATTCTAGTTTCTCCAAAGACCAATTCTACATGTTCAGTGACTTTAAGTCGGGGGAACTGGCGAAATCAGGTGAGATAGTTATATTCAGCCCACCACCTACACCTAGTCCTTCAATTCCTGAGGCAGAAATTGAGATAAATAGTCTTGAAACGAAGGAGTCCGCAGGAGCTAAAGAGTTGACAGAAAACCCCATCAAGGATGAAGCAAGGCAAAGTGCAGAAGGTTCAAGCGCAAAAAGGGTACCACGTCCGGCAGTATCCTCAAATTCCTCCGGCCATTCCCACCGTTCTGAAGAGAGTGAAACCAGTGCGCGCTCTTTCGCCTTTCCAATGTAAGTCTCCATCATGCAAGATGTCCTTTTCCTATATAAATAATATGACGGTTTGACTTATAGATGAAGACATTATAGGCCCGTTTAGGAAGTGCATTTGAATCAAGATTTAGATTTTGATTCAAATTCTTTATAAAAGAACTATTGGCGGGAATTTTTTTTATTTAATTTTTTTATGAGGGGAAAATACTGCAGTAAGATTATAGTTTGGGTTTGAATGCATGCTCCAAACAAGGCCTATATTCTTATAAACATGTTCTACTCCCACATATGAATGTAGATTTGTACCTAAATATTTGTCAAACCAACAATATTAAAGAGTTTGCTTTTGTACTATTTTGTTACTTCATTTTTTTTTCTAAAGAATAAATGTTAACATTTCTTTTTTTTTTTTTTGCGTGCATATCATGGAGGATGTAACAACTAACAAACATTTCTACAACTGCATACATAAATGTATAGATGCACAATATATGTGTATGAATCTTTGTATCGAATTTCCCTAAAATCCAAAACTTGGCCGTGAGGAATATACCCCTTTGTCTATTGCAGAAAGAAAAAGAAGAAGTGTGCATGGCCATCTTGCTACTGTTCTAATTGTAGCTGGGCGTTCTGCTGCTCAATTAGACGGCCAAGCTGCCACTTTACATACTTTGCATGGCCATTCTGCCACTGTCCCAATTGTAGCTGCGCGTTCTGCTATGATTGGAACTGTGGCAAAAAACGAAAGTCTTGTCGTTCCCCTCCTGCGTACGCTTCTCTCTCTCTCTCTCTCTCTCTCTAACTGTACTAACCATACATCCAGCGTTAGTTCCCATGCTAGATTTTTTTTTTAACTGACAATCACTATTGTAGGTCTTTTCACCATTTCTTTAGTTATTTTTTTTTAGCTAGTAAGTGTTTTCCATGTTGTTAGTGCTACATAATTGGTGCAAACTTTACACATAGATTGACTTAACCCTTTTTTTTTTCTTTGTCCCGCAGTTTGCAAGGAGTGTTGAAAAGTGAATCTATGAGGCCGGAGAATGAGAAGTTGCATTCCGAGGTGGTACTAGCTGCAAAAAAGGCTTCAAAATCAACTACTGCCTACAATTGGTTTCCTTGCTTGCCTTGGTGCTCATGGTCTTGGGGTTGTTCTTGGCGTCGCCATTGCTGCCATTCTCGTTGTTTCTGTTGTTGACAAATTCAGTTCCTTTAGATATCTCAAGCTCCCATATATAAGAAATCAATCCTCTTTTAGGTACTATAGTTGTTTACCAATGAGAAAAATAATGAGGTCGGGATTGGTTCTACAAAATGCAAATAGCTCATAAGTGATCATGTACAAAGAAAAATGCCAAAGGGTTGAATATTAGATGATGCCATATAATGTTTTGGACGAATTTGTGGAAGAATTAGCAGATATATGACGCTGCTTTTTCACCTTGTTGCAGCTGTAAATTTGTCTTTTATTTTCTGATAAATTAATTCAATTAGATTGCTATCAAGTTTTCATTTATTTTGGAAAAGTTAATTTTACAAATATGGATAATACAAAAAAGAACAATATATAACAACTTATTGCAAGAATAAAATATTGAAATTGTTACAATGCAATTCAACCTTCTACCAATCTTGGAAAACCGAATAGAACGGATGATGTCGAGGCACGTGAATCACGCTTTTCTTAAAACAGATTCGTCTCCTCCGGCGAGTGCTTTGAGTTGACGTTGGACGTCCGTCTCCCAAAATACAACGACAACGACGGCAGAATGATGCACTTTCGGAACCGTCTCAGCGAACTAGAACTACACATTTCCTCTATCACCAAAACCGAACTACAAAGACTGCAAAAGAACTCAAAGAAAATGAGAGAGTGTGGAGAAGAGTGTTTTGTGTTGGTGTTAGCAAATGGCCGGAGAGACCCCCTTATATAGGTTGTTGCAGGGGATGTTACAATGGTGAATAAAGTCAATTTATTCACGGCTTAATGGTGATTCAATTCAGAGGTTACAACTTTTAAAAATTCCAGATGCACCTACTCCAAAGTATGTCCAGATTTGGAGGTTAAATGTTCATAAAATCAAGATTAAACCAAGCAATAATGCTGGTTAATGCTGCAATTTTTTGCACTCTGCACTAATACAGAGTTAATCATGCACTAATGCAGTCTAATGCAGCAATTTCAGATTTAAGTTGGAAAAAAAAAATAGTGCAAAACAAGGCTTGTGCGGAGTGGGCTTTCCAGTCCAACATTCGTGTCCGCACACATTGGCCCTTAATCTGCTGGCCCATGATCTGCACCTTCCCCTGCGCGTGAAAGAGCCTTTTAAGTATACATGCTTACCTAGGCTTCAAAGTGTAATCACTTATATACACCACCAAGATTTCATTCCTAACCAATGTGAGATTTTGTAATTTTTTTAACTAACTTAATCATTTCAAGTGGTGTACTTAGAGCATCAATTTTTCATTCACCAAATATCTATTTTGAGCGTGTGAATATTCAATTTTAATCTTCTCATAATAAAGAATACAAATCCATCAAGATCCGTCTCAAAAATCAATTGGACTCTATTCTAATATGGACCTTTAACATGGCTTAACAAGCCAACAGAAGCATCATGGATTTGTTGGAGCTCCATTTGATACATTCGCTGAAATAACAAAGGTTGCTTAATAATCTGTTTTAAGACACGGATATATTAGAAAATAACGCAAATACTTGTTATCATTATTATTTATTTATTTATTTATTAAAGGAAAATAAAAATGCATTATTGAATTTTGATTACACAGAATGGGAAAAAGAGCCGAATGAAGAGGGAAATTTTTTTTTTTTAAATATTTTACTACGAAAATAAGATGAAGATAATTTATACTAAGAAAAAAAGTGCAAATCAAGGTATTGTGGTTTTCTGCATACAATATGGTATTAAATATTAGTTGTCGTTTACATGATATTATGTCGTTTCCTAAACTTGATAATTTTTTTTTTAATTTTCTAGACGACGCTTTTTTTTTTTCCACTCAATACGTCGTTAGTTTCAGATTTTATGGTTCTCTCAAATAATAAAAAGTCGTTCCTTCAAAAAAAAAAAAAAAAAAAAAAAAAAAAAAGAAAGTCGTTTTCTCATACCCTTTCGTT